CAAACCTCTGCCCGGAATAAGACTGTTGGGCTGCTTCAATGTCTGCACTAGCTCAGCTACCTGCTGCTCGAGCCCGGATCTGGTCTCCATGGCGTGCACACCCCGATCCCGGGAATGTCTGCCTCGGCTACCCTGTCCCCAAGAATGATCTCTGGCAGCCAAAGTACTGATCATCTGGTTCAGCTCGGGTGGAGTCTTAGTAAGAATATCCCCTCCTGGGCATAGAGACTCAATCACTCTCAGCCAGATCGTCCCAAGAGGTGATGGACAATGGAGGCTGGGTCTCCAACCACCTCTTAGCATTCCCCGCCAGAGAATGGGGGAAAAGATGAAGGCGGATCGCATCATCCGGGAAACCATTCAGCTTGAATCCGTTGGTCAGCTGCAGAAAACGGGACAGATGCACCCTGGCCTCCTCATCCTTCAAGACATGGAACTGGATAGAGGATGTAATGAGCTGAATCCAGCATGGCTTGATCTCAAAGTTATTTGCAGGAATCGGTGGGTAGAGGATGACCGGGCGGATGTCAGCAATCCGAGGAGTGTAGTAGTACTCCAAGGTGGGACCCGTCTGCGGTGGATGATGAACTCCATGATCCTGGGGTATGGGGTTGTTCCCCAGGACCTGATTCACCGGGGAAACCTGCTGAGGATTCCCCTGGTGCTGATTGTAGTCTCCGTCCATCCCGTACTCTTCTTCAGAATCGCTACTCAGGTGGCCGTCTATGCGCTCTTCCATAGCCAGTCTAGCTCGCTGTTGTCTCCTGAGCTGGCGACAGGTGCGATCAATCTCTGGATTCAACGGCAGTAAACCTCCTGACTGGCTACGGGTCATGCACTACCTGCACACACTCAAGCAAGCAAACCCGTGAAGGCACAAGTGGGACAAAGCAAACAAAGCAAAAATAAAAGCTAAATTAACAGAAATCACTTTTCTTCAACAACCTAGCCGTCCCCGGCAACGGCGCCAAAAACTTGACTCACTTCTACTGTCACTCCAGGAATTGGCCAAGTGTAACCACTTCCTAAAGCGTAGTATAGCGGGTTTGGGTTTAATTATCAACCCGGGTCCTAGATTTGATGACTACTCAGTGAATTCTTGTTATCTAGCAATGAAACTTTAATGCAAGTCTAAACCAACAAACTAACAAAGCAAGTAAACTGTCGTATTCAGGTTAAGAGAGGTCACCCGGATATGGTTCCCCCTATACTGCAGTTAAGCCGGATTGTAATTACCAAGTTCAGTTTCTATGATAGTTATACTGCGGAAGGTTCTTAAACAGCCTGAAGTCTCGACTAAAGGTCTTCAGACCCTCTCAATCTGAGGCTCTAGCGGGCGACTAACCTCCACCGGAGTAAACAGATTGAGACCTTAACAAACAAAACCTCCACTATCGGAGTAAATCCAGTACAGAATAGTGAGTTGGCTCCTCGACTAAAGTCACCAACTCCCTACCTTCAATCAAGGATGCTCTATCAACCTAGGCAGATATTCTCATTCTAGGTTAAAGCAGAAACAACAGGAATTTGATAAGGATTCAAGTCATTCAATCATTCAAACCTAAATCAAATATAATCAAATCATAGAATCAGTACTTGGATTCATACAATCAAAGCCTAACATACAAATCTAGGGTTCTCCATACCCAGATGAATGGGAGAACTACTCCATGGAGAAAGAAGAAAAAGCAGAATCAGACGCGGAATTCATACTGTGAAGGATGGATTCCTGATCCTGGACGTTGATTGGCACTTCTCCAAGCTCAAACTGGCCTCCAATGGTGTTGAAGATCAATCTAGGGCACTTGGAGACTCTTGTTCGTCGCTTTCTCTCTCTAGGAATCGTTCTCTCTCTCAAAAACTCGAATCCCCTCGACTTGTGGCTGAAAATCTGCTTAAAAGCAGAAAATCCCAACTCACACGGCCAGGGTGGCACGGCCGTGTGGCTTACCCAGTTGCCCGTGTGAGTCAAAACGTTGCGTTCCAATTAGTTCGATCTTCAGGCTTCTCACACGGCCAGGGTCGCACGGCCGTGTGAGATTTCCATCTGCCCGTGTTTGCTCTCGGCGAAACTCGCACGGCCAAACCACTCCTTCACACGGCCGTGTGAACATTAGGGCAAGCCGTGTTTGCTCTCGCACAATCTCATGCGGCCAAAGTGGTCACTTGCACGGCCGTGTGAGTTGTGGGTGTGCCCGTGTGACCTCCTTTGTGACTTGTCTCGCGCCCGATCTTCGCCCAATCGACCCCGAACTCGCTCCTAAACCTTCATTCACTTGCCAGGACCTGAAATATCACAAACAAGCACAACCTAGCGTGAAATCGGTCTAAAACACGAGAAACCACATCTCTAACAGTGTAAGAACAGGGGTGAAAACATGTGTAATTAGCGGTCTATCACACAGCTTTGGAGGTACGGTGATATTTTTTTAATTGTGAATTATGGTGAATTGGAGCATTAATTTATAGAGAAAAGTTTAATTCTGCCCTAATAGGAATGAGTTTCCTCTTGCTAGTAGGATATGGATTATGAGGTGTGTCCTACATGAAAAAAGAATTTGTGTTCCTCATCACAAAAGGAAAAGGTAGGCTACATTAATTGGCTAGAAATTGTATTATTAGCCGAGTTGGAGAGGGACACCCTCTTGGCGTGTTTTGTTTACATGGCCAGGAAGGAAATGCATTTCTTATGTGACTTGGACATGGCTACGTAAAGCCAACATCTGCTTCAAGTGATTGCGCATCTAGTATAGTTGATGTCAACAACTTAGTTCATAAGAATTAGTTCTTATAAACTAAGTTGTGGGGGGCATTTGTTTACACCAAAGTAATTTTCATTAATTATTGCTTGTGTGAACAGCTTGACCAATTTAAGTAGTTGGTCCATGTGTACATGAATGGTCCAATTTATCAAGTCAGGCCAAAATCCATAATGGATGGTAGTGTCCAAATACATGGATACCATCCAAAATCCATAATGGATGGTAGTGTCCAATGTAATGGATACCGTCCAAACCCGAATGGATGATGCTAGGGTATGGTGACCATTTAATATGCGTACCATCCATGGACTGTTGTCTTAGTCAACATGGATACCATCCAATTTGTTTTGTGTACGGTGACCGTCCAATGGTCAAGTGACATGATGACGTGTCGAGGTGGTTACCAGAAGCAGCACTTTACTTGCAAAGAACGCTCGGGGAAGTTACTGGATGCTACGTGGAGCGAAGAGAGAGAGAAGGCGGTTAGAGGGTGAGGCACAACAAAACTGGCAGCAAGACTCTGGACGAAAGAGACAAATCATACCACAACAAGTCTCGTCAAAATTTATCTTTTCTCTCTAGAACAGTAACCGTAGCAGCAGCACCAGGGACCCTCCAACGAGGCTTCTCTGTTAGCTGTAGTCAGTAGTTGTGGAGCTCTCAAGGAATCTCCATAGGAGTAGAGGTAAAAGTAGCCAGTTCCTTTGATGTATGCATCGAGCACCCTCGTTCGAACAGTGTTTGAAGAGGTGTGAACCGAGTAACATGGTTTTCCGTTTTCTTGAAATCAGGGTGCATTGATCACGCGAAATTCCACCTGAAACAGAAAGCTTATGATCTTATTGTGAAATACAAAAATTGATAGAAGATAATTCATTGCTAATAACGATACTTTTTTTTTTTTTTTTACATTGTACCATCATAAAACAAACACTACTACTTACATGATAACCCCACTATTAGGAGATTAAAAACTTAATATAAACTCAACAATATAACGAGATTTGAAATGTCAAAGTAAGAGTTTACCGGCCAATAGGCTAAACCAACATGTTGATTACCCAATTCAATGACTCAGTTTTACTTTTTATTTACTGAAGGCGATACGAAGGCTGCAGTGTAATTTGCAAGTGTTGGCAGTTTGGATTGCTGCTTTCTGATTACAGAATACAGAAACGGTTAAGACTTAGGATGTGGGACATTGATTTAGTAGAACCGGTTTCATTCCCAGCAATAGCATTGACATTGATGCCGGTGTTAGTATTGACATTTTGCATTCTCTGATATCAACCACAACAAAGTTTGACCCAGTCTCTGCCAAGAGCGAATTTCCAACTAGAAACCAGCAACATGAAATGAAGAAAACCAGATGACCATCTCCACTGTGAGTTGCTGCTCTTCTTCTGGCTTCTTATCTTCCCCCATTGAAAACCGGCACAGGGGACAAGTTTTCCCGTACCCTTCAAGCCACCTGGTTATACAGAGCTCGTGGAACTTATGCATGCAGGGAAGCATACGCAGACAATCACCAACTTCCATCTGTGACAAACAAACACAGCAACACTTACCCGCGTCAATCCTTGACGAGCTCGAGCCTGCGGTTTCAGGATCAAACCCTCCTTCCTTGATGCTCCCCAACGCATTCAGAGCTGTTACCATGAGAAAGATGTCATCTTCACGACCAATGCAATTGCAGAGCAATAAAGCCAGCTTGCTGAACACCATTTGGGGTTTTAGCGGGGAGTTAAAACATTTTGATTAGATACTTAATGAAGGGGTCGCAGGGATGAGAATGATAACAAACGATGATCCTTCCTTGTTTCATGTGTGGGCGTAAGCTTAACTAAGGGGTTTGGTAGATTTGGAGAAGGACCGCGAGTGTCCAACGACAAGCGGTTGGACCTAAAGATTGATTGATTGCTACTCTTGACCTTTCAATCTATGAAATTGGTGCCACCCACCACTGCATTTTAATAATCTCTGCCCTGGACGGTAGGACGATCAGATTGGGTTTAGAGCTCAAACACATACCAGATTCTTCAGTTCAGTACACGGGAAGGAAAAGAGTACACAGAACGTAAACCCCAACGATGACTTTGACATTGCAGCTGTTTGGAAGCAGGAATTGACAGAACAAAATTGACCCAATTCACCATAGACCCGTCCCCGACAAAGTGTACATCTTTCAGCAGCAATAATCAAGTAAAGGGTCTAACTCTCATCGGGACCAAGGAACGACTAGTCAGTGGATTGGATTGTAGCGGGATCTCCATTGTGTCCATCATTGTCATCACCTCCAACTATCTTTCCATCTCGAGGAACCAAGCAAGGAATCCCATCCTTCATCTACAACGACGAAAGGGGAAGTTATAGATGCAGACGCGGACCAATGCCCAAATTGAGCCAAGGGCGGAAAATTTTATGATGAGCAATTTGGGAAAGAAATAGCGTACAGGATAGGAGACGCCAATTGAATCACTGATGAGGGAATTGGTTTCCTTGCAACACCTAGCATCCCCATTCCCAATTAATATTAGAGAAGAAAAGTTCATTCCAGAGGAAAGGGGAAAGAAAGGGACGACCTCAATGGCTGCTTGGAGAGTGGGCAGGCCAGGACTCCAGATAGAGTCTTGCCGATTCCATTAGCTGCTTCTTTCAGTAACGTCTTCCCCAATCTCACCATTGTTGCGGTGGTTTTTTTTTTCTTCCTTTTTTTTTTCTTTTTTGTTGTTGGTAAAAGTGGGTGCGGGTTCTTTAAGCAGGAAAGCGAACCCTCCCTCCTATTTAGTGCAGTACACCGTACAGCGTTATATCTGCTTGCCCCGAACGCAACAGCGGTCTTGGTTTTATCTTCCAACAGTTTTCTTCTTTAAATAAAAAAATGTTTTGGGTTAGGACTTAGGGTACAAAATTATAATCAATTTCAACCAAAAAAAATTATAATCAATGGTTGAGATTGAAGGAGAAATAATTTAATGATCATCTTTTTTAGAGGGTAAATAGGATAGGAAAAGTAAAAGCTTGAATAGAGAGCTGGCAGGATTTTTTGGGCCACGATAAAAAAATTCAACGGATAGTAACCCATTCCTTATACATTGGATTTAATACAAATTTGTATAGAAATATCAATTATTTTTATAAGTGCGATATATGTATACTTTTTATGATTAGGTACTAATTAAAGAATTTGAACCTAAGATCTCTAAGTTTAAGGCAGTAGTATTACCACTAGATCAAACCCTTATTCGTAGAAATATCAGATTTTACATGCTCTACAAAATGAAATCCTTTTGATATTTTTTAAACTCATAATTTCTAGATCATCTTACCTTGGTCGACATCTACACCTCACAAATAGTAGGAAAAAACATCTTATTTTTTGCAAATAGTCCCTAACAGTGTAAGGTTTGTTCTCCTAGTCCAAATGATGAATATTGGTAACTAATCAATTCTTGATTTGTTTCTAAACATCTTCACTTCCCATTTATGAAAAATTGATTTATGATATTTTTCTACTTTAAAGTTCCATGATTTGTAAACAAAAATACGAAAAAGATACTCTAGGGATTGACTCGCACGAAACTACACAACAATAAAATCCCGATTAGAGTCCAAGTTTTTAACATCGAAAGCATAACGGTTAGCTCCAGACCAATTGATGGCTTCCTAGGGAGAGAGGTGTGCATACAGAGGAGGGGATAACGTACGTATAGGGGGCGTCACGTTATCAACCCTTCCTTGTGATGGAAGTAATCCAAAGCAAATGCAGAGTCACAACTAGGAAGAGAATGCCTCCACTGAATAAGATTCTAAGCGCACCTAAGTCTCTTTCATGTCTTATTGAGTTTGTACGGTAACTCAACTTTAAGTATAGAATTTACTTTGTTGGTTGAGTGGAGTTACGGTAGTTCTTCTGGAGTACTAACAGAGTAATGAAAGGCGTGAAAATAACCCCGAAATTTTATAGCTTAGCGCCTAAATGTTAAGGGTGCCCCACTACGCGGTATATCATGGCTAACTAAGAGGAACCTCTTGGATCCGGGTGTATGAGCTAGAGCAAGTCTGATAGGGTCGGAAAGCCAGTCTTGGTAGGCCTAGTCTAACCTGGTGCAGTATAAAGCAAGTATTTAGATATCAACCCGCGCCGGTCCGTCTACCCCTACTTCAGTTGTTGAAATCATTATCTAGCAACAAAGTTTGGTTTGAAAGTTTGCTAATTATAATAAAATAAAACAAAGGTGAATGAGTTCGAAAACTCTTTTGTGGAAGGATCACTCGGGTGTCGCTTCCCCCTAACTACTACCATGATATGTGAATTGGAACGATTGTTTTGGGCAAGGTAATCGCGAACCGCAGAGGGATGCATATATGGTCGGGGACCATAATCTCAATTTCTAAAACGAGGTGAACATTAAAGACCGTGTCACTCGACCCTCTCGGTTTAGGCAATCAGTAATTGACTTACTCCCTCACTTAACTCAAAGGTCGGATGGATTAATCATGATTAACCTATTTGCTTAATTCAACACTGAGGGTTGCCCTTAATTAACCTAGTTAGGTGGCTTAAAAGCTTAAGGAAAACCAACTCAATTGAGTCTCCCTTGGAAGGGGAATTTTCCTCTCTAAGCTAGGTTAAGGTGGCTAATTAGATTGCTAGCACCAACATGCACAAACCTATGGGTGCTAAGCACAATTATGCACAATCCTTAGGTTGCTAAGCACCAAAATGCACAAACCTAAGGATGCTAAGCACAAAACATGCACAACCCTTAGGTTGCTAAGCAGAAGCATGCACAATCAATCATGAGAAATACCCCAATCATTGAATTAAACAATACCCAATGACAATCATTCAATTCACATAAAAGAAACTACATGGTAGAGTTAGGGTTTCACAACACCCAAGTGAAAGGAGATCTACTCCATGCTAGAAATGGGAAAACACAGAGAGAAGAAGAGGAAACCATCTTGGAGGATGCTCCCATTCTCTTTGGCCCTTGTATTGAGCTTTCCTTGGAGGAAATCTTCCCAAAATCCACCTTGAAGCAAAACCCTAGCCATCTTCTTCCTTGGTTTGTGTTCCTCTCTCTAGAAATCCGAAGAAGGCTTTTCACACAAAGTGGGCTCTCCCCTCTCTCCTCCTTTCAGCTCGTCATTTAAACCAGAGACGAGCTCAGTTCACGGCCTGACAACCCTTAGGTTTCTAAGCACAAGCATGCACAATCAATCATGAAATTTACCTCAATCATTGAATTAAACAATACCCAATGACAATCATTCAATTCACATAAAAGAAACTACATGGTAGAGTTAGGGTTTCACAACACCCAAGTAAAAGGATATCTACTACATGCTAGAAATGAGAAAAATACAAAGAGAAGAAGAGGAAACCATCTTGGAGGATGCTCCTAATCTCCTTGTCCCTTGTGTTGAGCTTTCCTTTGAGGAAATCTTCCCAAAATCTATCTTGAAGCAAAACCCTAGCCTTCTTCTTCCTTGGTCCGTGTTCCTCTCTCTAGAAATTAGAAGAAGGCTTTTCACACAAAGTGGGCTCTCCCCTCTCTCCTCCTTTCAGCTCACCATTTAAACTAGAGACGAGCTCAGTTCACGGCCTGAGTTCACGGTCGTGAACCACGAAACGCGTGCGTGAAATGCAGGCGTGCGCCAAAATGCACCACTTCGATCTCTTCTGTTCACGGTTAACAGCCTTCGTTCACAGTCTTAGTGACCGTGAACTCACCTTGCGTCAGTAACCTCCGTTTCGGCTCTAGACGCCTCGCGATTCATGGTCAAGGGCTCTTCTTCACGGTCATGCAAGACCGTGAACTTCCTTGGATAGCCGTGAACTTGCCCTTTTTCACCTCTTCTCCCGGTTTTCGATCCTTTTCGTCCAACTTTTGACTCCGAGGCTGGTTTCGCCTGTTAAATCCTGAAATACACTAAAACACGAGAAACCTAGCGTAAAACCAACCTTTTAGGAATGAATTTTCCACAAACACCTAAGTAAAACGGGGGCAAAACATGTACAATTAGGCCCGAATCACTCCCCCACAATTAGATGTTTGCTTGTCCCCAAGCAAACCATTTCACACAATGTAATATTTCAACCTACACAAATACTTTGGAGACAACTCAAAGGGCACAAAGTGGGAATTCTCAATGGCTATTGGCAATCAATACATGGATCGTTGCAAGCAATACCGCATCCATCATAAACGACATTCGAAGCCACAAAAAACGGGAAAACGAAAAGTTCTCACCTTGTTCATGGATCAATGCAAGTCGCAACAAGACCACTTATCAACCACAACCGACCATGCATGGAATTCAAGTCCGAGGAACAAATGGAAAGGCATCAAAGGTTCTCATCGGGGTATGATATGACATGCAAAGCAAGAATGAATCACTCATTGTCAAGACCAATGGGGTCGGGACCTTTTTGGTGCAAAAGGTGTGCACAATCATAAACTCTTGGCCCTATCGTCTCAATACCACGACGGTAGCCTCTAGATGCTAGAGTTCACGACATTTTTTCACCACTAGCTCATCCAGAGGTCTTAGATACGGGTTCAGATGACTGACAATTGTCTTGGGCATGAGAAAAAAGCTTTTTTGGTGGTGGCAATCATGATGGGAGCAACACCCGGGTGAAGCCTTCTCAATTAGTGTTCAAACCATTTACTTTTCCAATCGATTTAGCTTTAAACCATAGTTTTAACCAAAAACCATTTGCTAGATAATGTTTCAAACAGTCAAAGTAGGGGTACATGGACCAGCCCGTGTTTGACTTTTAAAACATACTTTTCCTATATTGCACCCGGTTAAAGTTTATACTTGCGCCCTAATAGACATTTTTATTATGATATTTGGACGAGTCAATATGACTCTGGAGGGATCATAGTAAGCAGTTGCAACTGGATTTGCTTAGTTGTGGCATTTCAAGATGATGAGTATAAAATAGAGATTCAGAGTTTCTGTTTTATGATTTATGGATCGAAGTTGCCCAACTATTTAGGGCTTTATATTTGACTTATAATGAATGCTTCAGTTTTTCGTTTTCCTAGCTTTTATTTTTTAAAAATTTACTCTGCTTCGTAGCAATAGTTTTATATTTTTTGGTTACAAGGATCAGGATATAAAACTGTTTATTTTAAAATCTTTCACTCATATACCAAAATGTAACATCCTGATCCTTTTAACCAAAAATATAAACTATTGCTCCAGAGCAGAGTAGAAGTTCTTAAAAATGAAAACAAGGAAAACAAAAAACCGAAGCATTCCTTATAATTCGAATATAAACCCTAAACGGCTGGCCAACTGCAATCCATAAATCAGAAACAAAAACTCTCAATCTCTAACTTATACTCATAATCATGAAATGACATAACTAAGCAAATCCAAGTGTGACCGCTTACTATGATCCCTCTAGAGACATCTTCAAAGATGGTGTTGTGGATCGTCTCACTATCTCCTCTCGAGCTACTCACCCTCTAACCCTTCCTCTTCATGGTGAGTAAGAAGGGGGTCAGTCTACGCCGCTACAAAGAACTCAACATTATAATAAACTCAAACATTTGCCTTTCCTTTGTGGGAGTTGTTCTTACTCCCTTCCTTTAACATTGTCGTCTTAATGTGATGTGATTCCCCCGGTCGGGTCCCCCCGACGGAATCATCAAATTCCCTGACCGGGGATGTAACTTTCATCTTTTTGTGGATGATTTTCTTATCTGTCTGTGATGATCCACAATATAGGGTGTAAGGAGGAACTTTGGGATTTTCGGGACATTTTGAGCAGGTTTTTGGGGGTTGTCGCAGATCTTTTAGGCAACAGTTAAAACACTTTTCAAAGCTCTAACTAATTTTCATCGAATCATATCTCATTCATTTTACATCAAATTAAAAAATGCGGTAAAAATTAGATTTTTGTGCTCTATAAGATTATATCCATTTTTGTAGAACAATTTTTTTACATCATATTACTATTTTCATATCGTGATGTTACCACAGTGGTAATATCATGATATGATATTGGTATCAAGGAAAATGTTGGTTTGATAATAGTAATATACCAAATTTCAGTCTTACCATAGCAGTAAGATCATGGTGAGTTTATTTTACGAAGTTTTATCATAGTACTATGATGTTTATATGATAATAGTAAGATAGTATGAAGTTTTATCTTTTACAAAAAATAAAAAATTAATATCATCATACCACTATCATATAATGATATCATCATACTGATAATATCATAGTATGATAATGGTATGCTAGTATAGTCAATCTTACTACAATAATAAGGTCATCATATGACAATGATAAAATCAGACAAAGTACGTGTTTTTGAAGGACGAATTCTTTTTCGCGCAAAATAGATATCATTGTGTAGAATATAATTAATGAGTTCAATGCAAAATTTTTAAAAATGATTTAAAAAGAAATGACTATATCATTATATCACTATCATATCAAAATGGTAAGATTACAAACCAACACCTGTTTTGAATGACTATTTTTCATAAAATTTTGCAAAATGAATCAAGGGAGATATGACCCCAATTAAGAAAAGTAGACTTTGATTGGTGAAAAAATTATATTTCTCCTTTGTGATACATGGCAGACTAGCAACAAAGCAAAAGAAAAAAAAATATAGAAAGTTGATGAACAAATAAAAATTGATTTTGTAAGGATTTTTTTGCCATAGATATCCCAAAAGAGGTAATAGCTAGATACAAGAATAAATATAAGACATTTGAAAGCCAAATCACAAAATCAAAAGAGAATCTAACGTTGGTAGACCAATAGTTGATCAAGGGCTTGGTTTAGTGGTTAGAGTTGACAACCAGTTCGGTTCGTTCATAACCAAAACCATTTAGTTGGTTCTCGGTTAACCGTTAAACACTTTATGCTAATTGTTAACCATACCGTTTATATTAGTCAGTTAACCATAATCGTATAGTAGGTTTTCCGTAATTTTTTTAGTTAACCAGATAATCGTTAAGTAAGTGATCCATCAAGATTATAAGAAAATAATCGATCAATAACCTAACCAATAGAAGACCTCTTTTTTCCAGTTGTGCAGTTTTATAGTTTTCCCTCCACATATGTATGTATTGTTTTTTTAGTTTTATCATTAAATAAAAAATAATTTAACATAAATATCAATCAATATTCAACTCAATCCATCACAAGTACACAATAACAGCATTCTACCATCAAATTTGATTAAAGAAGTAAACAAGAATAAAAAAAACTCAACAACAATTATTCAACTCATAAGCCCCACCAAATTGCATGGAAGTTAACAAGAATGAAAAAGACTCAACAATAATATATGTTACTGATTATTGCTGAGCTACTATGTGTAAGTCCAACTTTTTACTATGCTTCTTCTAAAGCCATTTCTTGAAATTATTCTCATTTGAGTCTAAGTCACTTTTGCAACTAGAGTAGGCAATGAATCTTGTATGCCTTCAAACACCCTATATTTTTTGCTTATGCATGTGGTTCATCGATGCTTATTATTTTGTACACTAACTATGAGATTGGTTGTAATCGGTTAGTTGGTTAATCGTTAACCATCGATTACTTACTGTTTAACAGTCGGTTAGTTAGCTAAATTTGACTACTAGAAACCGACCATTTAATGTTAATTGGTTATTGGTGTAACCGTTAGTCGTCGGTTCCGATTTGGTTATCGATTACACCGCTAACAAAATAACCATTTACAAGCCCTACTAGTGGTAGTACCAGTGTACCACTAATATTGAACGTGATGTCTCAAATAAATCACTTAAATAATGCCTAAACAATAAAAAGTAAACCTGGATCACCTCATTAAAAAAATATTCCATCCAAGGACTTTGATTTTGTAAGATTTTGTTTAAACATTTGTATCATATCCGATCCTTAAATTTAATTAATTAAAAAAAAAGAAACAATGGTTCCGCCCCAACCAGGATATGGTGCACCACTTGGATTTTGGAGAATGGTTCTCCATTCTCATCCAACGGACCACATAAGTGTTCTTTTAAATTAAATGCTCAGATCTATTATAGTAATAGATAGTGGTTTATGGGACCCATGACTTGAAAAAGTAGCTGACATGTGAGCCATTTATTTTTAACAAAACATAACTTATATATATTATTTACAAGTGGTATATGTGTATTCTTGTTGAATAAAAATCATATTTGCAATGAACAAAATACATATTTGTACTGAACAAAAGTTATGTTTGTATTGAACAAATATACACATTAGAAAAACATATTGGTATTAAACAAAAAATGATATTTGCATTGAATAGAAAACATATTCCATATGTTTGATTTATATATTCGTAATTTTCATAACTCTTATTCAAAATAATATACCACGCATTAAAAACCATATTCTTACTAAATACAAAACATATTGCTATTGATCACAAAACATATTTGTACAAAACAGAAATCATATTCAGCATTTTCAAGAACTTGTATTCTCTACCCTCTCCTCTGTCAGCTCATTTTTCAGTCTGTGACTCCCAAAAACAGCTTTTTGTCAGCTACTTTTCAGTATGCTGACCTCACAATCCACTACCACTTTTCCACACAAATCTGAACCATTTATTAATGGACCATGAATTCGTCCCGACCACCCCATTTTCCCTCCAAATTAAAATAAAAAGAAATGAGAAGTTTTTAAAGATAAATCCTACATCATATTCATAGAATCCCACTCTACACATTCTACGGGGACTCCAGGGAAAACGACAGGGAGACGTGTACAAGCGGGAGCGGTTTTTTTGCTAGTTATCACGGTGCTAACTCCTATAAGGGTTAGCACCTAATCCCATCCCGGTAGAAGCGCCTTCACGGACAGCTCGCCATGTCAGCACCTTCAGGTAGACCACTGACTTCTTTTTCTATGTTTCTTATTCGTTTCTCTCTCTTTTTTCGGAGTAGAGGGAAAGAAAAATGCTTTTCCCTCTCTATCTCGTTCTGTGCTGAAAACTTTGGCGGCAATAAAAGAGGAATTCAAATCAAAATCAAAACCCTACCGGCGCCCCCTCCAAATTTTACATTTCTCTTCCCTCCATACTCTCTCTCTCTCTCTCTCTCGCTGGGGGAAGTTGCTTCAGGTGAGTTCATCTCTCTGTTTCCCATCGTCTGATACCCAATCAAAGAGCTTAGTTTTGGGGTTTTGTTCAGGGGGGATTGCTAGGGTGAATTGATGCCGGCGACCAGGCTTCATTAGGTTGCGTGGAGGTACTTTTTTGGTATTTGATTGGATTCTAGTGTGTTTACCTCACAGGTCCAGTGATTGGAAGCTGGAGGGTGGTTGATGTCTCCTGAATTCTCGAATACGTTCCAGAAAGGTCAGTATTTCTGCTTGTTTCTTTCAATTCGATTTCTTTCTTGATGTTGTTGACTCTGTCTGTTCTTTCCCTTCTTCTTTTCTGTTTTGTGATGGATTCAAGCAAGTTTTTGATGATTTGTGGCATCAGAGAAGAGAGCAGTTATTTGGTTCTGCAAAAAGGGAACAGTGCTGCTTGCAGCGAAGATAGATTGCACTACTAGTGATGGGAAAAGTTTCTCCAAAAGATGGGTACTCTAACACTCCGAGACGACGAAGGCGGCTGAGGAGTTCAAGTAGCAGGTACCTGAAACCTGGCGCTCTTGCTAAGCTGCGATACAGCAAAGCATCGGTGACCAAGTCATGTACTGATCTCGGAAGAAAGAGGGTTGCTGTGTTTGACACAGACAAGACAGACGCCGTCGACAATCTTTCCCTAGGAAATAAGGTGGCTGCTCATGACAATAGTCCGTTGTTACTGTCGCCCGTGGATTTGTTCAAACATAATCGCTTCGAGAGGACACCTAAGACGCCTCGTGTTGAAGATTGTGAATCTGAGTCGAGGCTGGAGTCTCTTCCCATGGATCTGTTGGTAAGAATAATGTCTGGCCGTGGGGTATATTTGCTTCTAGTTTCTATGAATATGCTGCTTATACTCTGGTATGCTTCAATAGTGATGTGGGTTTGCATTTCTTGTTTCGCTAAGGGAGTTGATGAAACCAGTGTAGCTTATCTGCCGTAGTAAAGCACGGCCAGGATTTAATCTGATTGTTTCAGGATTAAGGCATGTAATATGCTAAATGAACGCCCATTTTGATTCATGTTCATTTCATGCTTTCTGGAAAGCATTCGGTTGCTCTTACTATCTAGTCAGTTTTGTTCCGAACGATTTGCGTATCGACTTAGGTTGTTTGCCTTATATGCAAGGTTAATGTCCTGTGTCACCTTCATCATGACCAGCTAAGGGCTGTTTTCCATGTTTCTCGGAAGATTCGAAAAGCTGTAAGTTCCTCTCGTTACAGTTCCGAGTTGAATGTTTGAAAGAACAAGTGCAGTTAACTTTGTTTATAATGGGCTGGGGCAGGTTGTGATTGCCAGGCAATTCCATTTCAATTATACCACCCCAGATCGTTCCAGGCAGGAGATGCTGAGAACAATGACACCGCTCCCCGCAGAGCACTACCCTTTTGTTAGGTAAGGCGGACCTGAACAATATTTTCAATAGGTGTTTTCTATTTTCCTTTTCCTTCAGAAGTACTTACTTGCAATATTTTGGTCGACCATAACAGAAAGGGAGATGGAAAGAGTGCCTTACTGCCGAGCCCCCATACTCCTAAAGCACCAAGGCAAGGTCCCAGGCCACCTTCTCGCCTTAAAATCACAGAGATGAAGCAAATTGCAGCCGTTCTGTTCCAGGATTCTGCTTTACCCCCGAGATGTGTGGTTCCTTCTACTATGTCCAAACCGCTATGCAAGTCTTTGGCTTCTAATCGTGTTCTCTTCTATGAGGATGAGTTATGCCAGGCTGTTGCTCAAAATAAGCTTCGCTAGTAGTCCAGTCTTTTTCTACAACTCTGGTTTCCTCCTTGTGTATAGTTTGCTCTCTGTAAACTCTTTACCTAGTTATAGTCAGGAAAGGAAAGTTACCAGTTTTCCGATGTGCGAAAACAGTAGTAGGGGTAACGTTCGTTAGTTGATCATAGTTGCCATAGGAATTCAAAGATTTTGGTGATCAGGAGGGTGGGATGCGATAATAGGGGTTTGAAACTAGTTAGTAACTTGTAAATATTTTCATCTATAGAATATATATTTAGAGAAGGCAGTTGGGTTGGTCATATGAACAACTAGTTATGGTAACCAGAGGGAAATTCGGGGTACCGCATAACTTGAGTATGAAAATGCTATTCAAACCTTGAATTTACTGATGTCTTTGACATGATACTATTCTATAACCCTTAAAGAGCAAAATATAGGTGTTAGTTCTCTAGATCTTATAATCTAAGATCAATTTAATTAGCAACATTAATCAACGGTTATGATTCGTCCAATTATAGGCAAAAAATGAATGCACCGTTTTAGAGTTTATAGTTTATGATTTAGATAATTAGGGTCTAGGGTTTAGTCATTAAGGGTTAGGGTATAGTATCAAGCTCAAAAATCCTGCTAATTCGAGGTTTAGATAGCGTTTTCATACTCAAGGTATTCGGTACCCTGGATTTCACTCGGGGTACCGTAGAAGCCACTATATATATGGTGGCGTCTTCGGTACACCCACTTTTTTGGGGTGCATTCAATGCACTCGCCTCATAATCGTCATTCCGAGCATGTGATTCATGCCAAAACGGCATTGATCGTTGCTTATGATATTATGAAAACGTAACACATGAATTTTCAAAAAATCATTCAAATTTACTTTAATTTGAAGGATTTAGGATTTACGAATTTAGGGTTAGGGTTTAGGTTTTCAATTTGGGATTTTGGGTTGGGGTTCTAAATTGAAGGTTATGGGGTTAAAATAATGGATTGATTAGTTATGATTCTATGTTATATTATCATATTGGACTAATGCTATCAAATAAAGTTCAAAATTTGATATATTATGGCCATTTTTAGAGTTGGGTGCATTGAATGCACCCAAAAAAGCGAGTCCGCCGAAGTAGCCACCATTTAGGTAGCTCTCTCAGTGCGGCTGGGAAGCACCCTGTCCCTGAATATGTACTTGGTGGCATCAGGCAGGTCCCGGAAGCAACACAGTATCCCTAGTTCAATATTCCCATTGCCACAACATCCTCTTATGAGCAATTTCTAGCTTCAATCTAGGTCGGAACCAATCCGTTGAACCTGCTTATATAGTACATAGGATTGGTATATGTGCCTAATTAATATATACAAAAACTGATCTTGTAGTACAAATTTAGTGTACCATAAAAAAAATTGTACCCTCTATGTTACGATACAAGTTCAGGTTGTATAGTAAAAAAGTTTAAAAAAGTGTAAATACAAAATGAATTTGTACTATAATATTTAAAATACGAATTCAGTTTGTATTTTTTCTGAATCAAAGTATCAATGCTATAAACATTGTAATTTTTTCCCCAGCAACTAGAAGTTACCATTGAAACTTACTCTTTGCCAATAAGCAAAAGATGCGAAAAATAAAGAAGGCAAAAGCCTACATTCCTCATGAGAACAACCGAAAACAGGAAGCAAAAAACTCACAAGAAGATTCTAAGCTATCCCAAGTTGGCTATAACTAGAACTCTTCAAAACCTCAGAACAAAAAACAACATGTCCGTAGCCAAATATTTTCTTCTCTTCCCTGAGTAACTCTGCCTAAACTTTTAGAGCTCTTCGACTCTCCCCAAAACAGCGTCTACATCGCTCCTTCCAAAAAGCACAATCAATCAATCAACGACTAACTACCTCCCTGGGAAGCTTTTCTACACATGAACTGCAACATCTAATCCCAGCAAGGCTGCAGAGAAACATGCGTTCTCATAAGAGCAGAAACAAAATCAATAGAATATTTACATTCGCAGAACAAGTGCTGCCTGGACTCATCAAACTTGTGACACAACACACAATTAACAACAGTAGTGACTCCCCAGACTTTAAGCTTATCTATTGTCTTAATACAATCCAAGATAACCATCCATGTACCGAAACGATTCCTTGGCAGTACAAATTTCCCCCAGAGAATCCTCCACCAACGCACCTCAGAGTTTTTAAATCTGATAGTTTCCCAAATGGTTGAAACAAAAAACTTTGGCACTTTCATTCCAAGCCATAGCACACTACCAGCATCATCAAGATCAATTCTGTATCTGAACCAAGGTCTGAGTTTCATTAATTGACGGCATATCCAGGATCCAGAGGCAGTACCTTTGACATCCCAGATTGAGGCCCCTCTCAACCTGTATCGAAAGCACCAAGCAACCCAAAAACTATCACCCTGTATAAGAATGAGCCAAATTAAACGAGCTAGACATGCCACATTCCAGGTACTTAAGTCCTTCAATCCAATGCCTCCCTCCTTCTTAGTCGAGCAATAGATTCCCAAGCAACTGTAGCTCTGCCAGGCCCATCTCCAAACTAGAAAAAATTAGTGTAGAGGCGTTGTATATCCTTAATCACTTTCTTTGGAATAATAAAAATTGTCATCCAATAGTGAATTAAAGCATATAGTATAGAATCAGCAAGTTGAAGCCTGCCTGCATAAGATAGTTTATTGGCTTTGAAGCCTCTGATTCGAGAAGTTAACTTGTCCACCAGCACTGCACATTTTCCACTTGACAGTTTCCTTGAAATCAAAGGAAACCCCAGATATCTCACTGGCAGAGAGCCTTCCTTAAAGCCAGATAAGGACAAAATATTCAACTTATATTTATGAGCTTCTCCACCAAAGAATACCTCGCACTTATCCTGATTGCATTGTAGACCAGATAATCTACAAGGGGTTGTTTGTATGAGGATTTTCTAAATTGTGGGATTTTGCTCACAATCACTCAGTTTAAAAACCTAGGTTTTTAATATGAGTAATTTTAATAAATCACTTGTTTGTTTACTGATGACGGTTTTTAAAGGAAAAATAAAAGATAAATATTTGCCCCTTCTTTCTTTATCCCCGTTCCCAAAAAATTTCATCTTCCTTCCAAAAAAATCCAGACTGCTATCTCCGATCGGTAATCAATTTCTTTCCCTGCGGAGGCTGCTCATCATCTTCCTCAGGACTTGGTCTCTTTCCCGGAGCTCCGATGAGGAGCCGACGCTCGGGGAGATGACAATGACGACATGAAGATGATGCCAACAGATCTAGATCTAGATCGATGACGATGGGCATACAATGAGGATGATTGAAGACGATGGCAGCGACTTCTCCAGTCGATGATGGTGGCTTCTGGAGACGACGATGGGCAGAGATAAAGACGATAACAATGGCTCCTCGAGACGACAATGATGATAGGGATATGGGAAAGTCTCGATCCGGATATGGAGACGAGGGAGATGTAAGGTCTCAAACGGAGGGCGGAAACCTTCATGATATGGATTACGAATTGAAATGACGACCTGACGGCACAACATTGTCGAGCAAGATCCCAGATACGATGAAGAAGGAAGGTTCTGGTGTTGCGTATTGGGTTCTTGGTGCACGAAGATAGGTAGCATAAGAGAGGAGAAGGAAGGGCAAGTATGGAAGGAAGGAAAAAAAATATGGGATTTCAAAATAGCTGACCTCCATCAGCTATTCTGAAATTCCACACTTGTGGGTTTTCAAAATATCTGATGTCTACAATCTCCGATGTTCCCAAACACATGATTGTTTAAAAATGCTGCATAATGAGTGATTGTTTTAAAAACTCTCACAAATCACTCGAGTCTAATTGTACACATTTTATCCCTCATTTCATGATAGTTTGACTTTGAATTTCATCGTGCCTCGGCATATTTCATGCTATGTTGTGCTTGTTTTGTCGTATTTCAGGTCCTAGTACGTGTGGGAAGGTCGAGGACGAGTTTCGGGACAATTGGAGTTGATAAAGCGCCCAAAAAGTGAAGTAAAGTGAAGAACAGCCCAATGTCAAGGGCAAGGGTCAAATGTCACGGTCAACAGATCTTGACAATTGATCACTAGCTTAAGAATCAATTGTCACGGGCAAAGCTTCAATGTCACGGTCTTATGACCGTGACAATTTCCCTTTGGGAGTGACATTGTCTGCTTCCAGAGCCTGTTCTGAGGTTACTAATGCTCGAGTGGTTCACGGTCTGTTGACCGTGAAAATCAGTCGTTGACCGTGAAGATGGACCAAAATGACACAACTGACATGTGTTTTGGTCCAATGTCGAGGTCAGAGCCCCAATGTCACGGCCTTGACATCTGACCGTGAGGAGTGACTGTCGGGCTATATAAATAGAAGGCTGTTGGGAGAGAGAAAGGGGTGCTTTTTCTAGGGTTTTAATTTTCAGAATAAAGAGGATTCTAGTGAGAGATTAGGGTTTCTTCTAGAGTGAGAAACTGCAAATCAAAGGAGTAAGAAGGAGCTTTGGGCTTGTTCCTAGCTAGAGGATTGAAGATTTTTTCATCTCAAGTGTGTCTAAAGCAACAAGGAGGAGAGATTGGCATCACTTCATGCTTCTTTCTTCCCCTTTTGTTGTTTTCTCTTGTCTAGCTATGGAATAGCCTACCTACACACTTGGGTATTGTGAATCCTAGTCTCACTATGTGTTAGGAAGTAAGAACATGAACCTATTGTGTTGATTGAGTGTTTTATATGATATTCGAGATATTTTTCATTAATGATTGAGTGTGCTAGCTTTTACTTACTATTGGGTAAAATTGTCCTAGAGGGTGGAAATTCCCTTTTGGTCCAATAGGAAGCTAGACTTCTTAGCTACTTGGGTAACCTCCTTTAGGTCGATTTAAGACCAAAATCTCAAGTGTCAGAGTAGGGCTGTGATTCCACCGGGATTGGTCTATCCGCTGATCGGATTAAGTTCCGAGGGTTTGGTTTGCAATCCTTAGTCGGCTAGTCGAGAGGGTTAGATTTCCTAGCCCATCGTTGTCACCCTTAGCCGAAAGGTTAAGTAAGTTAGCTTTCTAGTTGAAACGATTCTCAATTAGCTAACTAAGAGAGTTAGGGATCTCTTTGGTTGACCGGTAAAGAGGGCTAGGTTCCCTAGCTATGAATCACAATCCTTAACCTAACGGTTAAGAGAGCTAGTTGTCCTAGCTTATATTTGTTGATTTTCCTTCATTGATCAACTAATGGAGTTTGTCCCTATCTAGTTGCACCCACCTCACTGTAGTTTCGTGCGATTCAAGTTTTTGGCGGCGTTGCCGAGGACCTTACGGTCCGTTATCCAGAAAAGGTCGCTTAGTGTTACTCTAGCATTTTCTATCTTGCCTTTTTGTTTGTGTTTTATGTTTCATGTGTGTTTTATTTACCACTCTCCGTCTTGAAGGGTGGTTTGTGTGTGTTTGGTTTTCCTTTTTACTGTTTTTGTGTTTTTAGGTATCGGATCATGGATCCTTATGATTTCACCCAAGTGTGGGGGTATCCACCACCACCCGAGAGTGGGTACCACGTAACTTCATGGGACAATCAAAATGGGGGAAGGCAAGGATCGAGGTTCTACTACCAACCCCCTTCCAAGATGAACAAGCATACCAATGGGGGTATCAAGAAGCTTCCCCATATCAAGAATATTTCCCTCAACAACCCGAGGAGAAATCAAAGTTGGAGTTGGCCATGGAGGCTTTCATGGGACAAACCTCAAGAGCATGTGTCACTCCACAATCGAAGCCAAAGAGCAAATTAGAGCTCATGGTTGAGCATTTGTTCGGAGCACCAATGAAGGGTGCACTAGCATGGACCTCCCAATTGCCAACCCTCTCGACTCAACCTTTCTTTGGGAAATCGAAGGAGCTCCTCCGGTGCACGAAGAAGCTAGGAGGGCTTGTAGAGAAAGCATGTGCACAACTTGCTCACAATCGCCTCCTACCATTGGAATAAATACAGGAAATCGAAGAGTCGAGCCATGAGAAGTTTGGAAGAACTAGCTCCAACATGGATTTCCAACCCCCTCCGTCCTCCCTACTTGACACTAGAAGAGAAGGTGGCACAAGTTTGTGCACGCCATCGCCTCTCACAATTGGGAAGAGCAAGAGGAGGTTGAATGGGAAATCAATGACATCCATGTGGAGCAAGACGAACTCACCCCGGAGAGCTCCCGTGGTGAGGATGAACAAGAAGGTTGCATTGACGACTCTCATCACTTTCCCCTTCGCGAGAGAAACTTTGAAGACTGAGTCACGAGTGTGGAGGAGCAAGAGAATCCTTTCTATGATCTTGCATGGAATCTTGCCCTCCAAACCTTGCTTGAGGACATGAATGGGAAGGAGAAGGAAGAGATCGAAAAGGATGAAGTAAGCATTGAGGAAGGGGAAGATCTTAATTGTTACCAAGGGGTGGAACGAATTGAAGAAGAAGGAAGGGAGGTTGAAGATGAAATTGAAGGAGCAAGTGGTGTCCAAGATGAGGATTAGGTCGGGGTGGATGAAGCATCCACAAGTTACAAGTGCTATGAAAGCTTTCCACCCAACCTCGATGCACTTTTGGAGAAGGACCCATTTGCGGCTCTTTTCCAATCCAAGGCCAAACCATCAACGATCCCTCTTAGTGGATGCTATGGAAGCCAATCGAGTTTGCACTATATGGTATGGGGCAAAGAGAAGGAAGAAGAAAGAAAGAAGGAGAGGTCTCGTGGGTGGAGCCTCATGACAACTCAAGTTCACGAGCCTTCAATCATGGATTCGTCCAAAGGTCGTGACTTGAGACACCACCTCTGTAACATCCCGTTACGGCAAAACCCATATTTCGATCGCTAGAAAATTTCACGATTTAAAATCGAGCTTTTCGACACTATTTCGACGAAAATCGGATTATCGATCGATCGGATAAGTATACGTATTAATTATATACATATATGGGTCAGACTCGTATGCTCCTGACGCATAGTATGCTCCAGATTCTCATTACCGTTGATCTAATCTAACGGTGTTTATTGAATCTATTTTAATTATTTATTATTTACAGTTTTAAAATAATTAGTCGATACCAATACATTTTTATACGTGCTCTTTAGTCCCTACACAAAATTTTCATATCTTTTTGCATTAACGTACCTAATTTTCTTCTAATAATAACTTGAACACCAAATTTTCTGATTGTATCTCCATCAAGTCACGTTTAATTTCTACCAAAGCTGGTAGATCTATCCCCAGAGCAATTTTGTCGTTTCAACACCAAATCCCCCTTTCCCATTTGCCCTTTATCGTGAGTAACGAACCCTATCTTCTCATCCATAACTATCGAATCAGTTCTCCTCCCAAGCCCTCTCCAATCGCTAAATTTTTTGTGCTTCCCGTCGCTATCTACGGATTAAGGAAGTGATCGATTAGTATGGTTCTGTTTGAGGATTGAGGGATTGAATCGCGGGCTCGAGAGGTGGATGAGGAAGGACTGATCGGAAAATAAATTTTACGGTCTGAACGTTTCCAGACGAAATCACAGACTCGATAGCTGGGGGAAGGGCTGAATAGCGAAGAAACTCCATACTTGTAATGTCTTAAACAAAATCTATGGAGATAGCGGTAGAGAGGCGACGTCGAACAGTTGGAAGGGGAATCGGAAATAGCAGATGGAGAAGCTAAATCGGTAACCGCCTGTGTCTCCATCGATGATCTTTTAGTTTGTTGTTTTCACAAGCTTCGTGACTATCATTTTGCAGTCCGCTGGCTGCAATCCTGTCTGAGTTGTGCTTATGATAACCGACGGAATTGCTTCTCTAATTTTCACTAGTACTGCAGAAGTGGAAAGGCCCGGGAAAAGCTTGATCGAGCTTGGATGTGACTGGAAGACTGAGATGCAGGCGGCGGGAACCGGTGCGGTGCTGTCAACACATTGTCTGGTATGGATTTATATTCTTGAATCTATATTTAAAATTAAACACAAGTCGTAATTTCTCTGTTTCTTCTTCTATTTTGGGCTTTCATTGCTCTAATTGTTGTTCGTTATTTGATTGTGGTGGTGAGAAAGATTGGAGAAGGATTTCTTGGATTCAGGTTTCGTGGTGGTGGATCACGTTCGATTTGGCCAAAATTGATATGGGTGGGTGCTTTCCTTGTGTCGGACCATCGAATAAGAGCGGCAGCAGAAACAACCACGACGAAGCTGGAAGTGGATGCAAAGAAGCTGCGATGAAAGATTTAGCTTCAGTTTCGGACCATCAATTAATAACCTCACTAGGAATTAAATGCCTCGGGTGTAACTTCTCTATATCATACTTCAGTGAAGTTGGAATTCTTGGTACTTCCTTCTGAATTCGATTAACAAATGGCAACAAGCTCTGAGTTGTTTCTTGTGGATCCTTTTTTGTTTGCAGGTTGAGAATCTAGAGGGGAAAAGGTGGGGTTGTTCCTAAGCACTGAGCAAAGGAGCAAGATGCTCTTTACTGGAAGAAGGAGCTTAAACAGGTCGAG